CTGATTGGAACATATACCTGCTCACGAACCTCATATGCCCTCAATTTTCCGGCGAACCCGATGATTTGGTAAGAGTTTAGGGGAACTGTTTTCGATGTGAGATCAACACTTCCTCACATAAGAACGCGCTCCATGGATGCGATGATATACATGGATACGATTTCTCCGCATTCCAATCAAAAACGGATACCTTGTGATAATTAAATAACTTCTTACCAATGGTTCAGTTTTCATTATTTTCTTTTAAAATTCCCCTGCTAATTCTAGGATGAGCAATGACCCTTATACTACTTATGGGTAATATCTAGCCTCAACAGACGATTCTCCTCGAATAAAATACACAAAACCAGTCCAGTCCTCGGAAGATTGTCTTGTGGCCGCAAGTTAGCACTATCAAATGTGCAGATGTACCTCATTAGAACCCTCCCCGAGTGCCCATACGGGCTAAATGGCTTGATAAATCACGTGTCTGCCTGATAAGCATAATAGGGTTGAGCCGATATAATATTTAGTATATTGATCGTAATACGTGTTTCGTATTATGCTTCAACACGATTACATGATGTTCTCTAACACACACACACACACACACTTGCCATACGAACGACATACGCAGCAGACTGAAGAGGGTAATAGACTACCAATTGAACCACCTACAGAGCGCTGTACTAAAACTTCTAAAAGCATATAACCACCAGGACGAGCTGTTGCAAACCAAATTCTGCCGCAGCTAAGGACCCTTGCTTTGGATCAATCCCCGTCGCCATCTGCCCATAGAGAGGGAAGAAATAATACGGAACCCATGAAACTTGCTCAATGCCTCTTTGTGATGACCCGCCTGAGATCCAGCTCGCATATAGTTCACATGCCTTGTGCCATGAGGATTATGAAGGGATAGCCCATCTAATCAAAACACTGACTGGCCTCATGTGCCATTCTAGAGAAGTCTTCTCCGTCAATGAGTATTTAGAATCCTGTGAAGTTCGTCACATCTCTTTCCCGTCCTTTGCACTACACTTCGTCCCCTACCTTTTCTCCTTCACCAGCCCCTCACTCCCTATAAACTCCGCTTCCTAGCCCTTTCCCTTTACCCTCCCCTTATGTGCCTCTAGCAAATAACATACAAATGACTCGAAATGAGCATCATTAAGAGAACAGACAAAGTATGACCTAAAGATCTGAAGTGAAATGAACAGGATCATATCTCCCCCTTTACTCGCCTCCTTTCATAACGTGCAAGCGAGCCGTCAAGGCACCCAGGGATGTGGGCAGCTGCCTCACAACCACAATCAACCTGGGCAGCCCTGTATGTGTGACGCATAGTAAAAGGAGAGCTCCAAGAACAAATGGAAGGGGTACCCCAAGGGAAACCAAACAACCGTCTAATTGTAAAATTGCTTAAATGTTGAACTGTCTCAACTCCAAGTGCTGTCATGGTCTGCAATATGACAAAAGCTGCTCCGATTCTGAATCTACTCATCTGGGTGGAATTGGGGCTGTTATGGGGGAGATTTGAAGAACAACACACACGCACGCAGGTACACACACAGATAAACCGGAAGGCCTCCCAACGACAATAACGGTGAGTATAGTCAAGAAAACGATGTAATTGATCTATTGTGTCTCATATTGCTTACTGTCTCATTGTTGGGTAGGCCCCTCTCAAGTGTGCTGCATTGCTTGCATAAAGGTCAGGTTCCTATGATTTTGGATCTACTCATGTAGGCATTTCCTTGCATAAAGATAATGTTTCTATCCTGCTTGCTGATTGTGGAGGCAACACTGTTTCCTTGGTGGATTGATTCATCTCAAGCGTGCTTCATAGTCTACAATAGAGAAAAAGTTGTTGCAATCCTGGACGTACCCATCTCGGTGGAACAAGGGATGTTGTGGTGAGCACACACACACACACACATGGCTGTGTGGGTGTGTAGATTGGGTTTTATGACTCTGTCGGACTTACTGCCGTTCTTGTCAGGGGTATGGACCGACAATCTGCTAAGATTGCAGGGTTGGTGCGAGTAAAGTCTACCACTTTTCTCTCTCAGGGCTATCCCTAACTCTGGGCGATGTGGGGAGTCCTTATCCATCAGTCAAATGCATCCTGGGCAGACTGTCGGGGTTCAACCTCCTGATGAGTCAGTGAAAGTCCGACGAAACAGTCTGTTCAGCAAAGTCGTGCTTTTTTCGAGTGTATAGGAAATATAAGCAGCACACACACACACACACACACACACACACACACACACACACACACACACACACACACACGTGCATGCAACGAGTTCTTGAAATAGTTGGAATCGGTCTCCGAAGTTACATGAGAGGTGCATGAATCTAGCCCATTTTGTCGGCAGATGCATGCCTTCTAAGCATGGGCATAGCATCTAGCAACTTGGTCAAAATATAATGAATCCCTGTGAAACACCGTAAGCTGTACAGCAGCTAGAGCTTCATTTACTACCGTTGAGGAGGAATATTATTAGCAGGGGCCTTTGCTGCCAACATCCCTTCCTAGGCAAATAATGCAGCCTTTTGATTTATTTTTTGCTCTTAATGCTTCTACCAGCATCACTTCCTACGGAGACAATGCAGCCCTTTGATTTGCTCTACTGCCTCTATGCCAGTTGTTTGCATAATTTCTGTAACCCTAGCATAGTTCATCCAGTGTTTGCATTTGCTAAGAATTTGCTCCACCTGTCCTTCGGGACATCCGTTAAAATTGGAACGATACAGAGAAGATTAGCATGGCCCCTGCGCAAGGATGACACGCATAAATCGAGAAATGGTCCAAATTTCNAAAAAAAAAAAAAAAAAAAAAAAAAAAAAAAAAAAAAAAAGAATTTGCTCCACTTGCTCTAGAACCTTCGATGCCTGCCAGAAGGTTCCGGTTCGCTCTGTTCCTTCTAGGAATTCTTCCCAGGAGGGCCAGGACAGGAATTTCTACCGAGTGCAAATTTGGAAATTTGGAGAGGCACAGGTGTTGATTGACAATGTTTCACGAGCCCTTTCGGGAAAATTGTGCCTCTCATGTCTTGCACAACCTGGCAATCAGCTCCAAATGTGGAGGCACCAGCGCGAATTGGGACAAATAACTTTAATAAAGAGGTAAGAATTCTATGGAAGCAAATGTCCCAAAGTCTAACCATCAAAGAATATTGCAACCCCATAAAAAGCATACTGTTGAGAGGCAGGCTACTTTACAACTACTTTACAGGAGATAGTGGGAGATAGGGTTGTCCTGTCTACAGCTCCACCTCAAGTCGTCGATACTTCACCGTCGACACTGCATTAAGGAAAAGCTTCAGAATCTTTTGTCCATGCAGCAGACTTACTGGCTAGCCTTTAGCTGGCTCGTCGTCACCTTGCCTCTCCAGATAACATTGCATCAATATGATTGTATGAGAGCGCTCCGACTCCTCAATCCGTTTCACCTTGCAACGGACTCCAACATGGCCAACAACTGACATGCCCCACTACTAAACGTCGCCTTCAGTGTGCGGCTCATCTTTTTGCCACTTTCCTTCCAACTTCCATGGCCCACAACTTGGCACTGTGTCACTCAACAGACTAAGCATCCTTTTTTTATTCTGAAAAGGACGATGATGGCCTTGAGATACCATTATTGAACTGACTGCCCCCAGGTAATTCAGAATTGTCTTATTCTGTCTATCTTAGTTGCATGCAGTGTGGTGCCTTCGCCTCCTGGTTGCCACTTCCAGTTCATCGACTGTGGCCATGCGCTTTTCATGCTCTCTCCTCTCCCTCTTTTTTTAAAGAAAGGGTGCTGGCTTTGCAATATCATCGTGGATTCGAACTCAGGTCTGTATTTCAACACTTCATGAGTGTACCAACTGAGCTATCGCCCTCTTCATTCTGGCCACCAAAAAGATCTCTTTCCCTTTCTGAGATTGATCTTTCATTGCATGCATCTTTATCCTTCATTGTATGCATCAACCAGAACCATTTTATTCTCTTCATGACGTTGCATCTATTAGATTCGAAGTTCGAACTCAGGTCTGTATTTCCACAGTTCATGGGTGTACGGACTGAGATAGCCTCGTTGGTTTGTCACGAGACTCTCATCTATGCCTTCATCTCAAAGCCTCCCGAGGAGTCAGTCACACGTTCCTGTTCCAGTGGCAATTGCCATTCTTAAGACCAATAAGCCCGCGCTTGATCAGACTAGCCACGGAATTTCCGCTTCTAGCCCCCAACTTAACCTGCCTGCTACTGACATTGTCCCCACTACATGACATTGTCCCTAGACTCCCTACTACATTGCTGTCCTGTTGACACAGCCTGCTATCCGCCAACAAATGATGGGCGCATGTCATTGGCAGAGCTTGTTGGAAGCTGTGCTCACTTAATTTTGACCACCATTCGTACAACTATGACGAGATTGAAAAGCTCTTTCGTCCCGCAGGAAAAACTTTGTTGCTGGCAACTGCTGATCGCTGTACTGCTGTACCCTAAGACAAGGCTGTATCAATGGCCAGCAGTGATCCAATCAATGTCAACGGGTTATAATTCGACCAGTCCTCGAGTCCGGTACATCCCGGCTAGATCCCGATCCGCTGTCGTCCGTTGCCAGGCTACTGCCAATCCTCGAGTCTACTAGATCCCGGCTAGATCAAGTTATAATTCGACACCAGTCCTCAAGGCGAACTGCTCACAACATCCCTCCTAGATCCCGGTCCGCTGTCGTCCGTTGGCAGGCAATGCCCAGTTTGGCAATTGCTGCTTCCAGTTGTGCGGCAAGTCTTCTTCAGTCGCACACGGAACTCCCAGAGCAATTGGATCGAACTCAAGCGGGCATCTGCTTGCATCGGGACCGCCTGTGCATGTGACAGCTGAGCATCGGTAAAAACAAGTGTAATTTTTGCGCGCGTGGCAGAATCCCTCCAGAGCAGTAGGGACAGCTAAGTGTTTGCCACATGCACAGGTGCTTCCCGGCGGACAGTCTGTGCACTCTATTCCGCTCTCTGCGACACACCCACCTGCACATGGCTGCATCAGGTTGATGAGCCCTTCTCGCGCAAGTGCCTGCAAATTGTTCCAAACAATAATTCCATACGTAAACCGAGCTGAGGTGGATAGTAATCATGAAAAATGGGCAGTTTCAAAGACACATACGCTCTGGTGAACGCACAAAGGGAAACATATTAAAATATAGAAAAGGAGAATGACAATCTGGTGCCACTGTCTCTCTTTTTTCTTCTTCTTTTTTCCCCCCGTCTTTCATCCAGATGCTTTTTTTTTCTTTTTGAAAATTTTTCGTTTTTTTTTTTTTTTTTTTTTTTTTTTTAATAGGAAAACAATACTCAGTTAGGGGCGGACGGTTGTCCTTCAAGACATCTGCTAGAATTGGAACAATACAGAGAAGATTAGCATCACCCTTGTTCAATGATGAAATGCAAAATGGAGATATCGTCCAAAAAAAAAAAAAAAAAAAGCTAAGGGCAGCCAGACTTCAGAAGGTGGATGATATGAGCAGCTTTCTGAAGCGCAGTCTGCCAGTGATAGGATGGCTGAAGTCTATAGGTGTGGAGCTGCCTCTGGTGGAAGACAGGTCCAGCATCCCGAAATAACGTCTTTTGGAGCAAGAGCTATTCATGCATCAGAGTTGGATCATCAAGGCTCGCCTAAGGTCTGTCAACAGGCCCCTGTCTCAGGATTCATCCCTACCGTCTTCACTCGAACAGAACATACAGTCATTTTCTCTGTATCTAGACCCAAAGTTGTACCAAATGCTGCTATAATGAGTGGGCATTATATTCGGGTGAAGACGGGTTAGGCTGTTATCAGAGCAGTGTCAAACTCACAGATCCGACTGAGAATCTAGTGTGCATTGAGGGATGCTTGCCTGTTGTTTGAGCAGGCCTACTGGACTGGGGTGGCCCCAGTGTAGTAGGTCTGCCTATTCCTGTTAAGGCTCCAATCCATCAGTGAGGAGTAGCATGGGCTGGAACTCAGGTCCAGCGTCCCTCATATAAGCACCAAGATCACTTTGGCAGAGCAGCATTTTTTGCCTTGTCCATTGGAGAGGGATTAACTGCCGGCGTACTGAACCAGGATAGGCACAGACCTCTTCACCCCACGAAGGCCACCAGAAGTATCATTCATCTCGAGTCTGTAACACCCCCACGCTGTGCAGCGAATGTTTAAACCACCAGCACATTTGACAGGCAAATTTATCCAACGAGCCAAGCCATCCACCACGACTTGAATGGAATCAAAGCTGGCCCCGGCCCCCAAAAGCCTGAGTGTCAGCGTATAACTGGTAGAACAGCCGTTCTATCCCATTCTACAGTAGAACGGGGTCCTCCGGCGTTCCGGTAAAACGAGTTGGGCGCATGGGGGTGCCTACGCCCAGCGCCACACCCCCGTGCACTTAAACCTAAAAAAAAAAGGGAAATGGTCCCCCGAACACCACCTCGACTCCCCCCCTTTCCCCATACACCCCCCCCCCCTTCCCCCGACAACTCTCTCTCTCTCTCTCTCTCTCTCTCTCTCTCTCTCTCGGGCACGCGCGCCCAGGGCCGCGCTGCCATGTGGCACCCTCCAGTCGTGATCGTGACCTCTCTCTCTCCCTCTCTCTCTCCTCACAGCCGCTACCTCCGCGCTGCCACATGGCACCGTACAGTAACAACCACCTCTCTCTCTCTCTCTCTCTCTCTCTCTCTCTCTCTCTCTCTCTCTCTCTCTCTCTCAAAAGGTGGGTGGGCGTCCCCTTTATGGCTGTTTCCACCAGCCACCCCAGTACCCCTGCCGCTGGGCCGCCAGCGCCCAAACCTGCGGAACTGGCCAGGGAGCTGTGCAAAACCGCAGCCCATCCCCTGCACTTCAGACTCCCTCGTTTTGTGTTTTTTAATGAAAGAAAGAATTGCAGGAGAGCGTACCCAACTACTCCCTCCACATCCCTGCCCGCCCAGAACCCCTCCCAAACAGGCCTCCACACAGTCTGCTGGGCCGCGTTCTGTTGCGCAGAACTGGCGATAGAACGCAGGTAGAATGCAGTTTCTTCCATGTACCGCGTTCTACCTCCAGCCACACATTCAGCCGAAAGCTGCAACGCGTCCTGTGTCAGGCAAAAAGAATTGCCTATGGTGCTCTTAACGGACCAGTACATCCAACCGTTCTTTTGCCGTGGCAAACTCTTACGGCGCACCAAGCTTTGCCAAACCGCCAGTGGCGCACTTTTTGTTCTTTTTTGGCTGACACCACTACCCATTGTGGTCCCATAGCACCGAGCCCCCTAAATTTTCAAATTGCCTCCATAAATAGAGTCAATATCAATTCTCACGTTTGCCTGGGCAATGAACTGGCAGTTTAAGCCTCTGCCACTTGCTGTCTGACCCCTTCTGAGCCCTCCTATTGCCTTTGGTGGTGTCCTTGGTATGGGATGGGGTCTGTATATAGACCCAGGCATGGTATATGGAAGTCTGCTGCATCAGGACTCTCTCTCTCTCTCTCTCTCTCTCTCTCTCTCTCTCCCTCCCCCTCCCCCTCTCTCTCTCTGTGCACTTATGAGCATGCTGGGTGCGGCAAAGACTAGCCGCTAAATAGAACGAGCCTTGCTAGTTATGAAAAAAGGAAACATAAAAAATCCTCAAGTCGAACGGATGACTGTATGTGCACATCCAGCTGACGATTCTTGTATTAAACAAAAAGGTCATGGAGAAGAAGATGGCAGGGACAAAAGGGGGATTTGGAAGCAAATGGTGAAGGAAAGCCATGTAAAAAAGTGGAACAAGGCTGAAGCAATGAAAACAAGTTGCGGATAAGAGGAAACGGAGGAAGGGAAAGAACAAGGAGCAGAGGGGAATGGATGAGAAACGAGAGGAGAAGCAAGGGGACGAACACGGTGCAAGGAATATGAGCGAGAATGATAGACAGAAATTCAAGTTGCAAAATCACGAAGTAGTCCAGATAGTCAAGTACCAAGCAGAGAGCACAATGCACCAAGATCCCGTCCAAATAAGAGCAATACAATGAACTTGGGGCATAGTACTTGTGAAGGAAGCTGTGCAGCTTTGGCTGGTAAATGAGCATGAAACCAAAGAGAGAGAACAGGAGTTAAGAGGAGGAGGAGGAGGAGGAGGAGGAGACTCCAACAACAATAGCGGCAGCAGAAGCAGCATACACAACCATCACAAACAACACTTCCTTGACCACAACTGCAAGAAAGAAAACACCAATAGCAACACCCACAGCAACAGTACGATAAACCACAGCAACAGTAATCGTGGTACCGTAGCAAGGACAAGATGCTTTTGCGCTTGTGGCCTGTGGGTCACAACTTCACCAAGTTCCACTCCGGATGATTCTAGCAGTGCTGTCGACGACAATGCACAGAATGGATTGGTAAGACAGCACATTGGGTTTCCAGAACACATAACAAAGGAGGTTGTGAGCCTGCTTGGCTCTGTAGCACATACCTTGAGCTTGGTGGCCTCCAGATCATAGTCATGTACGCTTCGCTTCCCTGAGCGAGGAACTTCGTGATTGAAATAATGATGTGGAACAGTGTACCATCGACTGTAGAAACCATACAAGTCAACCCGGGCACATTTCTGGTACAGACAGCCAAACCACTCACATCATCAGACGATTTCGCAAGCAACCGTATTGAACATTTAGTCTGAAGACTCTGAACTTCTGAAGCCATGAGCAAATTCCAGCCCTATAAGTGCAGTCACACCTATGACACTGTAGACCATATTTAAACTGCCATAGGCGCTCAGACGAGTCCTGATGTCAGTTTGCAGATGGACCATTTGAACCATTAGAAGTTGGTCATTTCTACACAATAATGTGTCTGTGTTAGTATCAGGCTTTTGTATTCCTTTCAACCATCCCTCCATGACATAGTGTGTTGTGAGTTAGTTCTTCATATGCTTGTCTATTGAACTCAAGCCAATGATGTCACAGAATGAAGAGAAACTTCTCTCCATAAGATAGAGATTGTGCGCTCATTTTCCATATCACAGTCTTGTGTTCCCACCACCAGAGCGACACACCACCATCCCATGACACGATGCCTCCCACTGTGCATCAACTGTGTGCACCTACCTCATACCTAATGTGCGCCAACTGGATACCCTTAAACCGCTAGCACACGGCCCCATCCTCGCAGTCCAAAACTTGTCGCCACAAGAAAACGAGGCCGAAACGTCAAACACTGGGCCTGCCGTTGATATATTGGATCGGAGGTCGTTCGTTTCGCACCTCCGGAATTCAAGGTGTCAGGCCTGCGGCCCAGGTAGCCATCTACTGGTGCTTTAATATGCCTCCCACATAGCTTCCATGGCTATTGATTCCACTTTGATTTTGTTGTCAATGATAAGAAATATAATTAATACTATTTAATAGTGGTAAATACTAAATACTAAATACTAAATAGCCCATTTTAGAATTGTTTGTAAGAAGCCATTCTAACTGGTTCCATTGGTTTTGCACTTCAGTGCACCAAAAAGGGGGAGCAGAGTGACTTCAAGGCCAGCCCACTTTCAAAACAATTGCTACGCTACGTTAGACAATCAAGATGGCGCCGCTGGTGACGAGGAGCAGAGGTCTCTCCTGATGCTCAACGGCAAGTCTGACCAGCAAATAAAGGCCAGGCTGAGGGTCAAGCCCCACTCCTTCTATATCTGTGCTTGCTTCTAGGTCAGCATGAACCTCTTGTCTGTGTGCTCCTACCACAAAAAAAAAGCTCTTCAGCCATCAGTGTCCCCCATCCAATTGTGATCCGAACGGTCCACTTTTCCAGAGGACACCACTGAGAATTGGCAACTCCAGTCTGCAGGGTCAGGCAGATTCCAGAACCGTAACCTTCACAATCGACCCATTGCATCAAATTTGCCGAGGCTGCCGAGAATCCCCTCAGATTAAAGAGAGGGAAAAAAAAAACCTTCAGAATTGGGCCATTGCCCTGACCACCGACGTCTGGCAACGCCAGGAATGGGCAAACAAGATGCTTGACGATGTAGAATCGAGCGCAGTGACGGTTCAAGCACAGACATAGCACAAGTGAGGCCTGGCCCTTAGGCAACAGGAATCCAAGTCCCTGGAGTCTGGACAGGACACAGAGATATTGACCATGCTGTCCTTCCCACCCACCGCCCATGGTACGATTGTAGTCCCCTGTTCTCTCTTCCATGCAGTCAAGCATCTTCTTCATTTTGTTCAGCTCCCCCGTCCTTCATTTGCTGTGTTATCCCCGGAAAAAGACTTCCACACATTCTGTCAGTGAAGGTTTCTATCTTGTCTATCAGACTTATCCGAGACAGTAGTGGGCCTTGCTCCGCCACTTCCCACGTGCACAAAAGAAAAGAAAAAATATGGCGCTGCATCTTTCCATGTTGTAGCGGAAGATCTGTTCCCATTTTGCACATTTGGAGAGTGGTGGAGCAAGGCCCAGTACTTCTTAACCGAAGGGCAATTCTTTGAATCATGGATCAACCCTCATGTCACCATTGCTGATGGCTATTTCTCACTAGCACTGCAGAGTGTTCTTAGCAACTTTTAGTAAGTTTTTACCCATAAATGATCAAGTAACTTGTATGAACCTCTGGCTTGTTTTGACAAATCGTCCTCTTTTCTTGCCCTCGTTAACCTGTCGACAAACTTTCCTTTCCCTTTCTCCAAATGTGGACAGCTGTTGCCTTGAAGAGCATTGCCGATAGAGGGTCGTCTAGTGACCATTAAGGACCAAATTCCTCTCGTTGTCACTAGCCTTATCCCTCTGCTCTGGAGCTTCCCCCTCAATTGCTGCTCTGAGTGTTCTCCCTATCATCCCTCCTACTAGCTCAGCTCCCGACATGAATCATTGCATCAGAATGATCGCAAACAGTCGCAAAAAATCATGTCAGCAGCCACAATTTGACCAACATTTTTTTCATTGCCAAAAGAGAGGTTTAACAAAGTTTGTTTTCTCAACTTTTTTGTTTTCTTTTTCCAAAAGGAATTGGACCATTTCTCAATTCATGTGTGTCACTCCTTGTGCAGGGGCCCTGCTAATATCTCCAGTCTCTGTATTGTTCCGATTCTAATGGATGTCCCAAAGGACTAACAAACTATGTTTGGAGCTTTGGAGGTACTATCTTCCCCCTAATAGACTGTATGCCAGTGTATGTGTATGGTCATTAATACTCATTATAGCTGTATTTAGGGCAACTTTCAGTCTAGATACCATGATAATGACCATCCGTTCTATACAGCGAAAGGATGGAAAGGATGGTCAAGACGGTAATGATGGTGACGACTGCGATATGGTGATGACGATGGCGACGGACGGTGGTGGTGGAGATGATGATGGTGACGATTGCCATGACGATGATGATGGTTAGGAGGAACGAATGGACGACGATGAAGAGGAGTGGTAGACGAGCGATGGCATGGTGGGTAGAACGATGTTGTTGACGGCTGTGGTTCAACTGGTGGTTTCATGGAGGAAACTCCATCTCAGCTTCACTAAAGCTTACACATAACCTGGAGATCTCCACCATAAAAGGGGTCAGAGGGACTGAAGTGTGATGACAAAAGATCATGTGGCAGGGAAACTGCATTAATGCAGGATGGGTAACCTGATGGGCATAAGCAAGGGACAGCGGCAAGGAAAGAGTCCTTCAGGGAGGAGAAAGGGGTCTTGCAATTGAGGACAGGCCCCAACTCGCAAAGGAAGAAAGGAACCATACCTGTAATGCCATCATCACTCCAAAGAACCCTCCTGTTGCGAGCAGATTCACTTTCGACGAGACATAGGATGTAAAATCTGTATCAAAGAGGAACAGCTTCACATGGCGGTGCCTGTAGACATACTGCACATTAGCCGGTGTCCCTTATTTTCCCGTACTGCCTCCATGATGCGAATTCAACCTTCCTTCCTTCTCTCCCTCCCTCCCCTCCCCACTTCCCTCACCCCCCTCTTCTCCGCTTCCTCTCCATTGCAATGAGAGAGTGAGAGCGAGTCACAACACAGACGCACACACTCAGAGGAATCATGCCGAACAGTCCACACAACGCGGAGATGCGGTGAAGTCTTTGCTGCATAAATTAATATTACGACTTTGCCCCATGCCGCAAACCAACTTCCACCAAGCAAGTCACATATCCTTTTTTGCCACCTCACACCCAAACCCAGCGCAAGCCGGGGAGCAGACAGAATACACAGAGTCAAAACAGAAGTTACATTATCCAATAAGTCATCGTGTATGACTCAAGTTTGTCAACACCTGATGTGAATCCTTTTTCGTACTAAATTAACTAAACTCAAGGTTTGCCCAAAAGGGATCTTGTACACACAAAATCAAATAAAAGCTGCATCATCAAAAGCGTCATCAAATAGAGTTAAGCCACCAGATGAAATGTCTTCCGAATCTTCAAAGTGCTCCGTGTTAACGGCCAGCCAAAAGTGGAAATCGCGCCGTTTCCACTTGGCTGAATCGGGCCTACTGGCCCAGGCCCGTTCATCCCAAAATCCATGCCCGTTAACGCGGAGCACTTCAGGAGGTACTGGTGGTTTAAGTCTGCAGTTAATACACTTACGAGTTTTTTGTTTTCCATCTTGCAATATCAAGACCTTTTCTCCAGCAAGTTTGACCCGAAAGGGACCCAGTAGCTACGTGGCACCCTCGGCCGCGGCCGCAGGATCCGAGTCCGCGGCCCGTATCCTAGGCCGCGCCGCGGAGTTTGCGCGCGGCCGAGTTTGCGCGCAGGTGGGCGCGCGCCCTCGAGATCCGAGCGCGCGCGCGGCCTGCGCACGTCGGCCGCTGTCGGCCTGTGCAAAAAAAAAT